ATATGAAAGATGATGAAATGATGATGTTAGATTAGCATGTTTAGTAGCCTAGGTTCTAAATCAATTTTGCATGATCATAACCTTAGTTGGCCGAATATATAAGATGATGTTTTGAATGATGCTCTAGGATTTAAATATGATAAATTATCAATAATGTTAGAAGCATGTTTTAGAAGTAATCCCTTAGGTATTTTAGGGCAATAAGGCCGAATGGTATGTAGCTAAAAGAGGTTTTATTTGATTAATGTTGAAAGGATCTAACCATGTTAAGTTAATAATATAATTGAAAGCATGTTTTAAAAATTATATTCCTAGATGTTTATCTATGGTGGCCGAACCTATACATGCCTAGAATGAAATCTTTAATAATTCTATTAAGTGTTATGATGACCTAATAATGTCCTAAAACCTACACAAGTGGGTAAGTAAGCAAAACAACTCCTCTAGGTAATTAAACCTGCAAAGCCGAGACCTATACATGGATAAAACACAAATGTTGAATGTTATATAAGTTACTAAAAGATGATATGATGATGTTAGGGAGTCAAGGGAGCAAACAGGCAAGTAAAGAGATCAAAAGTTGAAAGTATACAAGTAAAGAACGACAAGTACTGTAAGTGTTTACAGTTGTTGAAGTAATCTCTCTATGTATGCCACCATTATGAAACTATGATAAGTTATGGTCTGACTGCAATATGTTTATAGTGCTTTACATTATGTGATTATGATATTTTTGAAACTTAAAACCATGCTATTAAATGTTGGCCTGTGCACTGATACTCCAGTTGCAACCTGACGAGGACTCTGGGTATCTCCGTAAGTCCGTAAAAGCCGGCAGGAATATGATGATGATGATGATGGCATGATATTTTTATATGATGATGTAAATGTTCCATTTTGTATTGTTATTATAAACTGTTGCAGGAGTAAGCGTCATAGTTGGAGAATGCTCCAGCTGTGAACCTTACTGAGATTTTCCCCAAAATCTCACCCCCCTTGACCACCCATTTCAGGAAAAGATGAAAGAAAGTAATAAGAAAGTTATGTGGGAAAGAAAGGGTAAGAGACTGGTACGTAAAGAAGAAGAAACTCCACCTACCTGGGAAGAGAAACTAAAGGATCTAACAGATAGAGGCCTATGGACTGAGGCTATGAAATTATTAATAGAAGCTTTTCCACATTATGATTTCGATGAAGCACTAAGTACACAATGGCTAGAGGAACCACAACCACATTATGACTGGGCTTATGATGCGGCATAAATTATGTTTTTATTTATGATTAGTTAATCTTTTTGGGATTACATTAAATAATGTTTAGTGTTATTTATTTTGTATTGACGTTTTAACGCTTTTAATTTTATATGGAATAAGTATGGTTATGTGTTTCCATTCCGCACTCTGATATTTGCATTCGTAAAGTTTAAATTTAGACTTCCGCGCGTTGAATGCATGATGAAGGTGCACCTTATATGTATTTACATTTGGGGTGTAACACCAAGCCTCCACTGGTGTGATGTTAAATTGGTTCCTCAGTGTTCCAGCGTTCCGCAACATGATTCCTCCTTCAGGTCTCTATGTAATTCTTTGGACTTGTGAATTGGTGAATTGGTCTGACCCTCAGCTCCTTATTTATAATCTTCAAAGCCACATCCTTCGTTGCATCTCCCACCGTATTCGTATCAGATTTGTAATTGATTTCATAATTGTTTCCTTTTGCGTTTAAGATATTGTGGATTGGTGACAGATTTAAGACTTTGAATCTTGTTATAATCCTGCTTCAATCTTCCATGAATCTCTTTAAATCAGGTTCGATATGTTTTCGTTTTAATTTCGGATATCAAAATCTTGTCTTCAATGGAAAATATCGGCAAATCTTAGTAAATCTTTGCTGTCTCGAACGTGCTTGGGCGCTCAAGCACGCTGTTGGCCGCTTGAGCGTGCTTCAGTGCCTGCAATTTGCTGTTCTGCCTGCCCTCACGCGCTCGAGCGTGCTACTGGGCGCTCGAGCGTGCTACTAGGCGCTCGAGCGTGCTCCTCGTGGACAAATTCTTGTCTTCTTGGGCGCTTGACTGTGCATTCTTGCGCTTGAGCGTCCTGGATTGCTCAATTTGGCTGTTTTCCCTGCTTGCACTTGCTCGATCGTCCTCTGGTGCGCTTGAGCGTGTTCTTCTGGCCCTTAAATTGTAAGATTTTTGGCTTCCCTTGGTCCATATTGAGCCGCTACTTCTTCGTCATGATTTCTTTAGCACTTTTTAGCACCAATAGGTGTGGTTTTACCTTCAAAATGCAAATAAGGTCAAAACGTCAGCTCAATTTCCTATCTTATGACTTATATGTTGTAACCTTGAATTCCATGTATTCTACTACATAACTCTTGTATAATTTAGCCTAAAAACATGGTTAACCAAAGGTTTATCACATAGCTTCTTTGAAAAGATTTGTGAACGCAAGTTCCCATAGGCCGATTCATCAAGTCCCATAAGAAACTTGTATACACGATCATGCTCTCTTTCTTCCTCGATCTCCTTCGCATAAATACAGTTCTTGCCACACGCACATGACTTGTACGGTTTGCTGCTCTTAAGTTTGTCCCATATAGCTCTCAACTGCATATAATACTCCCCAACACTGCTTCCTTGCTGCCTAATGTTAGCCAAATCCGCCTTGAGTTGATACTGACGTGAAAAATTCTCCACATCATACCTTTCCATCAAGTCATCCCATAGATCTTTCACCTCATAAAAGCATTTGATAAATGGTTGCAGCTTCGGATCAATGGTATTATGTATCCAACCATTAATCATTGAATTGCACATCTCCCAGGCGCGCCACTCTTCAGCTTTCGCCTTTTCTGGTTTCTTCACGGAACCATCTACAAACTCCAATTTGTTTTTCGCTTTGAGTGCATTTTTCATCAGCTTTGCCCAATTTTCATAGTTGGCTTCTCCTCGCAGCGTCACTGTCGTCAAAAGAATCCATGGACTATCTGATCCTGCCAGATAAAATGGTGATCCAGGATCCGAAGGCTTCAACCCATTCGCCATTTTAACTGGGCACACCACTTCAGAGTTTACACGTTGCGGAAGTTTTCAACAAAGGATCGTTCTGATACCATGTTAAAATGGTATCAACTGATATTGATTTCATTGCTCTGAACTGTGTACAATGCGTCTTAAAATAGAAGTTACAATAGGTGTTACATAACATCAGAATTAATTCCTAACGGTTAGCAACTAAAAGAGAAACAATAGGAAAACAAACTACCTAAGCTATCTGATACTAATCGCAACAGTAAACAAACTACCTAAGCTATCTGATACATATCGTAACAACTAATTACAAGAGTAATAATATTTGAATCTTCTATTCCAAGTTCCAACACTTGGATCACTAAAATTTGGTCAAAATTCTCGCCAAACCAAATCAATATTGATGTGGTACTTTTTTCATGAATATTAATACTCATATTAAATTTTGTTTTATTTAATGAATAAAATCCTGGGATTTCTATTAAATTTGATTACATTTATTTAAAAAAGAATTAATTTTTTATTTAGTCATTTCCTAAAGATACAATATTATTTTTCATTTGTAAATTTCAAACTCGCTTTTAATTAATCTAGCTATATATTTTTTGCTTTTCTAATTTTAAATTTTTACTTTCTTAACATATATACTTCAACAAATTTAGTTGTATTTAGAAAAAGCAAGGCATGATTACCAAAAAAAAAAAAAACGCAAGGCATGTAATACGATCAAGTGCTTGTGTAAACATAATATACTAACTTGAGTGTGATAAACCCGTAAACTATTGTCATATTAGAAGATTTTAGTTAACGCAACTTATGAAGTCTTTATAATTGATTATAATAATTTAAGATCAATTAATTCACGTCATTACCCTTATGAGGAATAAAGTAGTTCTTTTCTCTTTTTTAGGTGTAGTTCGGATGCATTGATGTGTGTGGATGAAATCTTGTGATTTAATGACTTTAATGAAAACAAAAATATTGACACATTACTAATATTTTATTAAATAAATATTATATTCCCTAATACATTAATGACGTGTTAATATTTTTATTGATTTAGTGCTTTAAAGTTTGATACATTAAATTTATACAAAAGTCTCTTGACAATTACTGCAAAAATTTAACAATCCCTCTACATGTAATACAAATATGGCCAACATAATATAAAGTTTGACTCTTCTAAAATGAGAGATACATTTTAGAGAGATAAGTGTACGTGCAGTTATAACCATTGATTGAGAAACCAATGACCCAGATTCTGATAAAATACATGTACATTGATAACAAATAATAAAACTAATAAAATTTATTTCCTTAATTTTCCAATCAAGAGTCATAACTTCACACGGTTTTTCTCTAAATCGTAGTCCCCACTTTCACCTTTAGGGTGTGTTTGGTACAAGAGAAATTTTTTGGTGACCGGGAATCATGATTAATGGGAATTCAGTAGAAATTGAGTTTACCTGGAATCTTACGAAAGAGATGTTTGGTTCGCCAAAATATTACCGGGAATATTGGGTAAAAATTACTGATTTCATATTTGGTTTAGAACGAAATATGACTTGGAATATGAGGTTATTTTACAAAAATAACCCCAAACTATTTTTACTTTTGTAATTGATAGATTGGGTCTAGATTTTTATGTGTATTGGGGTATTTTTGTCTTAAAATTTATTATTGTGCTTTCCCTTTACTTGGTATTCTGATTAGTATTCCGAATTACCATATTATTTTTGGTAATCTGAATAGTGACTTTTCTTTATAATCAAATTACCGGTAATCCTTGGATATCCGGGAATCGTAATTTATTCTTTCTACCAAACGTGGTAATTACATTTACCAAAGAAGGATTACCGGTAATCCTCTTCAAAAACCTGAAACAAACACCCCCTTAAACAAATCAAATCCAACAAATCCCAACTAAGCAAAATCCTATACGTAAATTCACCAAACAAAAAAATTTGAACAGTTTGTACTGTAGAACACTATGCGTATCACCCACACAACTTAAATAAAACTCTGGCCGGCCCAAGCCCATACACATAACGAACGAAAAGGACAATATTAAAGTTAATACATAAACATTATTGCAGCAGTGAACACTTCCATCTTCACTGCAAACTAAACTCAGAAAAAGTCCCTCGTACTCCACCATGGCCAATAAAACTTCACCACCATCTCAAACCATAGATCCTTACCAGCACCTCAAAATCGTTCATAACCCCAACGATACACTCACTCGCTCGATTGATTTTCCATCTACCTTACCCTCATCAGACACCACTCTTCCTATCTCTGTTCTCACTAAGGATGTTACCATCAACCAATCAAACAACACCTGGCTTCGATTATTCCTACCCCGAAAAGCAATACCGGTTCATGGTTATTCTACTTCCAACCAAAACCACAAGCTACCTCTCATTGTTTACTTCCATGGAAGTGGCTTCATCATAACGAGTGCAGCTTCCACCATGTCCCATGATTTTTGTGTGAACATGGCAGAGAGCATAGAAGCCGTCGTTGCCTCGGTGGAATATCGCCTTGCGCCGGAGCATCGGTTGCCGGCGGCGTATGATGATGCGATGGAAACGTTGGTTTGGATTACAAGTAGCCAAGATGAGTGGTTGACACATTATGTTGACTATTCTAATTGTTATTTGATGGGGAGTAGTGCTGGGGCTACTATTGCCTACTATGCAGGTCTACGTGCAGCACAAGAGGTTGATCATCTTGAACCATTAAAGATCCAAGGGCTGATATTGCGCCAACCATTCTTCGGTGGGACCAAGAGAAGCGGGTCTGAGTTGAGGCATGAGAATGACCCAGTTCTTCCGTTGTGTGTTTCTGATTTGTTGTGGGAGTTAGCATTACCAATTGGGGTTGACCGTGAGCATGAGTATTGCAATCTAAGGGCTGAGAATTGTCTTGAGAAACTAGATAAGATCGAGGTGCTTGGTTGGAGGGTATTGGTGAGTGGTAATGGTGGGGACCCACTTGTTGACCGTGAGAAGGAGCTTGTGAAGTTGATGGAGGAAAAGGGTGTGCAAGTGGTTAGTGATTTTGAGGAAGAAGGTTGCCATGGAGTAGAGTTTTCTGATTCCTCTAAAGCAAAGCAACTCATTGAGATAGTGAAAGGTTTCATTTCCTCGTTTGGAGCTTAGGATGATGGATACCGTACCGAAAGCTAGTAAGCGCGTGGCACTTTTCTGCACTTACTTTTGTTACTTTTTCTTTTTCTTTTTATGGTCTATTGTGGATGTATAAATTATCGAATAATTGAGAGTTATTTTGTTTTGTTAAAAATGGATAGTGTTATAACACATTTGAACATGTATTATGACCAATTATTTTAGTATTTTATTTGTAATAGGCTAAAAATACGTACTTAATACACTTGCTTAAAACAAATTTCGACGCTCGAATTAGGTAGCCCTAGAATAAAAAAAAAAGTGACAAGTGTTTAGGTATGAAAAAATTAAGTTACCTAAGATACGCACTGGTGCGTATTTAGCCCTATAAATGGTGAGGTTCTTAAGACTAGAGCTGGTGGATGCCATGTTGTTGGACTTGGACCTAATTGCGACACACTATTCCCTAGCCCAGAGTTAGCAGACGAGTTTGTCTCTTTTATTGAATGTTGTGGCCCAACCCACAATCACCATTAACCATTAGGATAGACTTCTGTTGTTTCTGAAGCGGATTGTTGGTTCCTCGAGGTCCTTTGACCGAAGAGGTTATGGCAGAGGCTCATAAGGGCCAGTTCACTGTCCACCCTGGTGCGACAAAGATGTATCAAGACTTGAAGAGAAATTTCTGGTGGCCAGGAATGAAGAAGGACATAGTTGTGTATGTGTCCAAGTGTTTGATTTGCCAGAAAGTGAAGGTAAAACACCACTGGTAAGCTTCAACCTCTTGAGATTCCGAAATGGAAATGGAAGAGCATTTCCATGGACTTCGTTGTGGGTTTGTCTAAGACTCAGGTTGGTTGTGACTCTTTTGGGTCATCGTCGACAGATTGTCAAAGTCTGCCCACTTTTTTCTAGTAAAGGTGAGCTTTTCTTCAAAGCAGTTGGCCTAACTGTGTGATCGCGAGATCGTGAGGCTTTATGGGGTGCCCAAGAGTATCTTCTGCGATAGGGACCCGGAGTTCACATCTCGGTTCTGGGAGGCACTGCGGAGAGCTTTTGGAACTCAGTTGAGACTGTGTACAACCCATCACCCTCAGAATATTGGACAGACTGAGCGGACCATCCAGATCTTGGAGGACATGCTGAGAGTTTTCACTTTGGGGCATGGCTCAGCATGGGATATGTACCTGGCATCGATTGAGTTTTGTGAAATTGTGTTTTTCCTTGCTAGCCTGGGCATGGAACCCTACGAGGCGCTGTTTGGTAGGAGGTGTAGAACTTCTACCTGTTGGTCTGAGGTTGGAGATAAAGAGTTGTTTGGCTTGGACTTTGTCCAATTTACCACCCAGCAGATTCAGATGATCAGAGAGAAGCTGAGGCAAGCGCAGAATCGCCAGAAGAGTTACTATGATGTTAAGAATCGTCCACTGGAGTTCAGTGAGGGTGAGCACGTGTTTGTGAGAGTTTCACCTGTCACCGGTGTTGGACGGGCACTCGCAGTGAGGAAGCTGAGCCTGCGGTTTATTGGGCCATACCAGATTCTTGGTAGAGTAGGACCTGTTGCCTACCGGCTTGCCTTGCCTCCGAACCTAGCCAACATCCACGACGTGTTTCACGTGTCTCAGCTTTGGAAATACGTAGCGGATCCTTCGCACGTGGTGCGATCGGATGATGTGGAGGTTGGGGAGAACTTGAGAACTCCCGTCGAACCACTCCGAATTCTCGATCGTGGCGAGAAGCAGCTGAGGAGCAAGATCATTCCGATGGTCAAAGTACAATAGACAGGAAGGACTCCTGAAGAGTGTACCTGGGAGCGAGAGGACGAGCTTCTCCGGCAGTATCCCGACTTCCGAGACAGGTATGTTTCTGATTTTGTGGACAAAATCCTTAAAAATGTAGGGTGAATGTAAGAACCTGCATCGTTAATTAAGAAAATTAATTAATTAAATATGAGAATTAGGAAATAATTTCATAACTGACCCTAATAATTATTATGAGGCTTAAATAATTATGGTAAGTGAGTAATAATGCAAAAAGTCGCTTTTCGGACGAAAAACGAAGATACTGGTTCTGCTAGTCGGTATGAATGCGTACCGATAAAGTATCCTGGAAAATTATAATACGTGCATGAATATTACTAGAATAATATATAGGACTTGTAAAACGAGTTTCAAGTTAAAATAATGAGAACTGGTGCCAGAACTGATACTGGCTATGGGAAAAGCGCGTACCGGAAAGGTGCTCCGAAAAATAAAATAAAATAAAAATATGATAATTCTTGTAAAATTAAGTAGGTTAAGAATCCTGAGTTTGGGATTAAAATACTAAGCGTAGCTATTAGTGCTAATACTGTGTGATTAACTTTAAACCGGCTATAAATAGCCACTTACACACAACCCTAGGCTGATCCTCAGCCATTTGTACGTGGGTTTTGGTGTGTGCTGGTCAGCCTCCATTGTTCCTTGCCTTTTCTTCACAATTGAAGACCAAGTTGTCACCTTTTACTTGTTTTTCCTTCCCTTTCACCTTGTAAACACTTGAGTGGGTGTCTTGTGAGGGTGAGGTTCAGTTTTGCTGAGTTGAGGGTACTGTTTGAGGAAGAGTTTTGGGGCTGAGTTCCTTGCTTGGGTTGTTGGAGCTTTGTCTTGGTTGTGGAGCTCTAAGTGGTCATCTGTGTGAAGAAAGGACCCACCTTGTAGTGCATTTTCGTGCACCATCTTAGTCTGGGTATTTGGAGCTGTTTGGTGAGCTCCAAGAGCACTTCCTTCTCTGTTTTGAGCCTTGGGTAAGTGTTACCGCCTTTGATCATGAGTTCTTTTGGTTAAAAGAGATGTCTTGGCATATTTAATAAGTTAAACAAGTATGTAATCTGTTTATGAACTTAAAAGAGGTTAAAAATGCATGCTTGAACGTTCTTAATTGGTAAAAGTTGGGCCTTTGATGGATATCTTCGCGAAATGCAGAAACTGCTTTATGTCGCGAAATATTCGGATATAGATATTCAGATATGGGGATCTGGATATCCGGATATTGATATCCAGATATTGGCAGAGAGATATCCGGATATGCCCCCGACATATATCCGAATATTCTGGGTTTTCGAAGAACAGTGGCTGCACTATTCATACAGAAGGCTTGTATGGGTTTGTGGACCCTAGTATGATGATGAGGTACTTTTGTAATAATGAATTTAAGTCAGAATCAAGGGATTTAGGGCTTGTGGCTTTGTGGGAAGCCTTAAGACGTAAAACGTAAAAGGAAAAACGTAGTCTTTTTGTTTATGCGTATGAGCTATGTTTATTGATATGCTTGTTGGTCCTAAATCAGATTGTGATCTTGCTGTTTGTGGACTCTGAGGTATTGTGGACTCTTGGCTTGGATAACTAGCTTGCAAGGTAAGCTTTCGTGTCCTCGGTTTAGCCATTATCTGTTCCACCATACTCTATGGGGGGATAGTTATATGCATGATGTGTTTTCATGTATTATTTTGCTGAAATGCTATTGAACTGTTAAGTGCAAATGTTATATGATATGTATGTGGTGTTCCGCCTAAACAGAAAGCCATGGGGTATTCCTGTGGGCGGGTACAACATGGGTTGGTATTTATGTGGGTAATAGACGTATTCCTGCATTTCTCTGGTCAGTAGAATAGTTATAACACACATGACATGAATATATGTTGCATTGCACTGATTTTGGAACTGATATTGAATTATTGCTTTTAGAACTTATATTGCACATGTAAGTGAGCTTGGAGAGGAAGATCCTTGAGGACCCCTTGTCTTACTGAGATTTCTTGTTTAGAGATCTCACCCCACGTTTGGGGGCGCTTATTTCAGGTTCAGGTAATATGGGGGCTGATGCCTCTAGCTGTAGGAGGCCAGAGCTTAGCTGATGATATTGCTGTTATATTTATGCTGTCATGTCTGGATTGGATGTTGTTTATGTTTTCCGCCTTATTATTATGTTGTTGATGTTGAGACTCATGTTGGGCTTGATGCCTTATTTGGGAGAGCATGGGGTTTGTCCATGCCACTTTTTGTTAGTTCTTAAAGTTGAGTTGTATAACTTAGTAGGTTGTCCAGCCTACGTGTTGTAGTTCCGTGACTAGAGACTTATATATGTTATTTTAATTAATGAGGTATTTCAGTTAGTTGTCTTTTGCAATTTACATACAGGCATGATTTTATTTAAACGATTAATTAAGCAAGTTGGTAATGATAATGACGTCATAAATGAAAAGATAAAGACATTCCGCATTTTTAATTAAGCGCAGCTTAATACGATGATATGATAATATTACCGGGTATATACGGGGTGTTACATGTATCAGCAGAAAGGCAAATGGGGTCTCATTGTGGGCCTCTGACTTACTGCAATTTTATTTTTCTTAGTAGTTTAGGTTTGGCCTATGAATAGCTGCTGTTAGGGTTTTCTAAATCATATTTATATTTCCCTGTAAACCGAGTGACTTGTAACGAGTGGCGATAAGGTGAATGTATTATAGACAAATTGAACGTAGCCTACATTGAGTGAAACAAAGTAAACCATTGTGTCAATTTTCCTTTCTCTTTTTGTTTTTCAATTTGTGTGTGTTGATTTCTAAAAACTTTTCTCTCTTTCTCGCTTCATAAAGTAGCTCTATAAGTAACTAGCTGCTATTGTTATTATATTCACTTTTCATTATTCAATAAAGGCTTTAATGTTTCTAAAGTGAATGTAGATAAGTTATCTACATTCGCTCCCAAAACACGTCGCTTTGGATTAAAAAATTAAAAAATTATAATGAAAAAGACTATTATAACTCTGAAATAAATTATAAATACAAAAATACCATGATTTTCGCCTCAAAACGAAGTTGTTTTGGGCTCACTATAGATAAATTATCTACATTGACTGTAGAAAAAATGAACTCTTTAATAAAAGATAACTTTCTCAGGATAAAGTTTGTTCTTCTAAAATAAGATATAGAATTTAGAAAGAAAAATGTGCAGCTATAACCATTAATAATTGAAAAATCAATGACCAAGACTGATATAATACATGTACATTGATAACGAATAATAATATTAATTATTAAAATTTATTCTCTTAATTTTCCAATCAAGAATTATAACTTCACACGTTTTTTCCTCTACTTTTCACTTAACCACTTTGACTATAAAAGAATCAAATCCCAACTAAAACAAAATCCTATAGGTTAGTTCACCAAACAAAATAACTTTGTATATAGCTTAATGTTGCCAACGCTCAACATTATGGGTATGGCTCACATATCCAACTTAAATAAAAGTGTGGCCAGTGCACATGAATTATAAAAGGGTTCTATTTGTCTCATTTAACAAAGATAGTTTTCTTATGTTGTAGAGAAAATAGGTGGGTCCCACCATTACAAGAAAAAAGGAAAAAAAAGAAAAAAGTGGGGTATGAAAATCGAAGTGAGAGAACATAAGAGAAAATATCTTATGTGAAAGGAGAGTAATATTTTCCATTATAAAAAGGACAATTTTTTTTTTGGGATATCTGAGGGGCAAATAAACAACAAAAACCAAAAGAGAAAAACTAAGCACACAACCTTAGTGTCTAAGCATTGCTGACGATGGGCCGTACAATACTTTACTAAAATTTTGAAATTATTAAGATTTAATCTAGTGAAATCTGATTATCCTTATCCGATGGGGCTTCAGCGATAACCATTTCACTAATAAACCCACAAATGGAGCCCGCAGGTTTTAAAATTAATTAATTTTTAAAACCTTCACCCATTCAACATTTTTGTTTGAGAATTTTCATAAGCTCAGTCGAATTCATTGTTTAATTTCAAAATTATCTTTAATAACTTAGTATTATCGACGATGAGCCGTACAATACTTTATTAAAATTTTGAAATTATTAAGGCCCAATAAAATCCAATCATGCTTATCCGTTGGGGCCTCACATGCTTATTTTATTGATAGGCCCACAATGCGTCTGGAGGTTAAATTAATTTCTTAATTTAAATCTCCTCCCATAGATATTTATGTCCAATCTAATAAAATCCAATCATGCTTATTCGATGGGACTTCACATGATTATTTTATTAATGGTCCTATAATGCGCTTGAAGGTTAAATTAATCTCTTAATTTAAATCTCCTTCCATTCAACATAAGCAACATTTTCTAATTTCCAAGAATTATTTAATTGAGAGTATCCTTTGTTTGATTTCAAAAACTATATAAGTAAGAGCGCCGATAAACGTGCACTAAGCTTAACATAATTTTGAAAATATTAAGGTCCTGAAATCCGGTCACTTTACATCAGCGTGTGCTCCAAACAATCATGATACATGAATGTTGTATGCAGCGTGTGTTATTCCATGACCATTTCAGAAAACCCACAAATTACTCGCAAAATAAAAGAATTCTCTTAGGAAATTTTCTCTAATTATTTTTCTAGATTTAAATCATCCAAATAGCTGACTTAATTATTAATCTAGATTGCAACAATCATAATAATTATCATTTATGAGGATAATTTGAAATCAAAATAATTTCCATAACGATTATTTGTCTTGATGTTAATTATCCAAAATTAATTAATTCAATTATTAATCTAGATTTTTAATAAAAATCATAATAATTATTAATTAATTTCTTAGGATGATTTAAAATCAAAATAATCCCATAATAACTATCATACTAGTCGCTGAAGACATAATAGCTATTATGCTCATGCAATCATACAAGTTATGCAACAATATGGCACCACCTATTCTATATGGCATGTTATCGCAATAAAGCATGTTATCAATCATATAATTTATACCAATCAATAAAAGCATTAAATAATAAATAATAATTACTTTAATCCATGGCCTTCCTATTTTAAAGAAAATTAAATTAAATTAAATTAAATAATACAACTTTGGAATTCGACTTTCGCCTAGCCCATAGTATCTGTCTCAAGCCCCTTTAGGGTTTCATGGGCCCAAAAGCCCAAAGACCCAATCCTTTGGCGAGAAACCCTAGGACGCGAAAGAGGAACCCTAGCCGTCAGGTCTACCGCGCCGTCACCCGAAGTCAAATCAGGCTGAAACTCCAGGGGAAGGACCGCCACGTAGAGACGAGTGCACCGCCGCCGGAACCACCCAAAAAAGTGGCCGGACGCTCCCTCACTCTCCCATTATTTGCCGGAGAGTGGCGGCCACTCTCAGACTCTTGTGGAGGCGCGTGGTGGTGCGTGGAGTCTCCGATGGCGGTGATCCACCCACCGTTGCGTTCGTCTTTCCGTCCTCTTTCCAACCATATATAGATCGCCCTATTCCGAGATCGGAAAGTCCTCGAAAGGTCTCCGACAGTACTGACTGCGCATCTTACTCGCGGTTTCTCGATCTTGAACTTTTACAAAATATTGGAAAAATACACAGAAATTCCGAAAATAAATAAAAACAACAAGGAGGAAACCTAATCATATGATATTAGCCTCCTTGTTACAAATCGAGAAATACACGAGAGACCCTAACCATGGATTAAAGCATTTTTATCGATTAAAATTTAAACTTTTATGAAAACGAATTATAAAATACACATGCTAGATTCATACCATAATCCTAGAACCCTAGGTGCCACATTTCAAGAAGCAAAACTAATTACATGAATAGTGAAACTAGATTCACATACCAATGTACAGCCAAGGTTCTGATACCAATTGTAGGAAATCTTAGATTTATGCGGAAGCGGTTTAGGACCTAGTACATTGGTATGCTTACCGAATCATCCTTGTTTCACAATTTCGGAGCGCAGGTCTCGTGTAGAATCTTCCCTTGTAGGATTCCTCTTCACGAACAGCTCACCTCAGCGCTGCAACACGAACAACCTCCTTGAAGCTGGACTGTGGCAGATCTTCCAAACTATCTCTCGAGGAGGAAGGGGAAGTGTGTGGGCACTGATTAGATTCTGAGCTTGCCTCTTTCTCACAAAAGAGACCTTGGAGGCTGATGACTTAAGAGGTACTATTTATATGGGTTCCAAGAAACCCTAGCTCATTGGGCTCTAGGTTCCTTGGGCTCTTCTCATACTAATAACCCATTTGGGCTTTAGTAAAAGAGCAAACCCAACAGTTGAGACTCATGTTGGGCTTGATGCCTTATTTGGGAGAGCATGGGGTTTGTCCATGCCACTTTTTGTTAGTTCTTAAAGTTGAGTTGTATAACTTAGTAGGTTGTCCAGCCTACGTGTTGTAGTTCCGTGACTAGAGACTTATATATGTTATTTTAATTAATGAGGTATTTCAGTTAGTTGTCTTTTGCAATTTACATACAGGCATGATTTTATTTAAACGATTAATTAAGCAAGTTGGTAATGATAATGACGTCATAAATGAAAAGATAAAGACATTCCGCATTTTTAATTAAGCGCAGCTTAATACGATGATATGATAATATTACCGGGTATATACGGGTGTTACATGTATCAGCTGAAAGGCAAATGGGGTCTCATTGTTGGCCTCTGACTTACTGCAATTTTATTTTTCTTAGTAGTTTAGGTTTGGCCTATGAATAGCTGTTGTTAGGGTTTTCTAAATCATATTTATATTTCCCTGTAAACCGAGTGACTTGTAACGAGTGGCGATAAGGTGAATGTATTATAGACAAATTGAACGTAGCCTACATTGAGTGAAACAAAGTAAACCATTGTGTCAATTTTCCTTTCTCTTTTTGTTTTTCAATTTGTGTGTGTTGATTTCTAAAAACTTTTCTCTCTTTCTCGCTTCATAAAGTAGCTCTATAAGTAACTAGCTGCTATTGTTATTATATTCACTTTTCATTATTCAATAAAGGCTTTAATGTTTCTAAAGTGAATGTAGATAAATTATCTACATTCGCTCCCAAAACACGTGGCTTTGGATTAAAAAATTATAATGAAAAAGATTATTATAACTCTGAAATAAATTATAAATACAAAAATACCATGATTTTCGCCTCAAAACGAAGTCGTTTTGGGCTCACTATAGATAAATTATCTACATTGACTGTAGAAAAAACGAACTTTTTAATAAAAGATAACTTTCTCAAGATAAAGTTTGTTCTTCTAAAATAAGATATAGAATTTAGAAAGAAAAATGTGCAGCTATAACCATTAATAATTGAAAAATCAAT